TGGATCTCCCATGTGGGCGGCACCTGGTGCCTCCCAGGGTGCTCATTCGCAGGAAGCTGGAAAGAAGCAGAGCTGGAACTCACCCAGGTGCTCCGGGAGGGGATGCTGGTGTCCCAAGCCGCATCTAACCCCAGCGCTAAATGCCCATTCCAGAAACCCTGCTTTTTACTTTGAAACCCCAGCTCTTCAGAATGACTGGCGCTGTGGGATCCCAGAGGTGTTGGGTGTTGGCGTACTCTCCAGTTCTGTGGTGCTGCGTCTGTTGTTGGCCTTGTAAACCATTTTTTATACGCTGTTTTAGAGGCTTGTCCAAGTGCAAGCATTCTTCCTATTAGTTTGAACTAGGCAATGGACGCTTGTATTTCAGAAACAGCAGTGTATCCATGTGAACGGCGCACTGCGGGCGAGTGAAATGATTCACCTGCCGCCAGCCCTGCCCACATCCCCTCGGTCTGCTCGAGGCCTCAGAGACAAGGCAAAAACAAGTGGACAGAAGAGTGGCCGAGTGTGAGGCTCTGCCGCGTGCTGCCCTGTGCAGGAACTCAGCTGCTGGCAGCTCGTGCCTCTTGCCGACCTAGCCAGGCTCGCAGGGAGCGGCGGTACACATCCCCAGGAGCCGGGGCCTTCTCAAAGAGCCCTCTCATCAGCGCCGGCGCAGGAGGGCGTGCGCCCATGTAGAACGGCGCCGTGCCCCATGGTGGTGCAGCTGGATCCGGTCATTCACAGGCACTCCCTCAAAGGAATGCCTCTGCTCCTTGGAAGTGACCAGAGGCAGAGCTGCCAACTTGAGCTGGCCCCAAGGCAGCCTCAGCAGGCACCTCGATTGGCTAAATGACACCTTTTAAATACTCTTTACCAAGTGTGATTTGTTTTCTCGTAAGAAATACGCTTTCAGATCTGCTAAGCAGGGACTGCTGGTATTCTAGTTTGAAAAAGGCTCACTGGTAAGAAATTCATTTCAACGTGTATTATCTGTAATTTCTCAGCAAATGACTCTAAGCCCACATATTTAGCCTCTTTTGCTGCTGTTGTTTGTATTGATTTATTTTTATTTGAAAAGCAGAACTACAGAGAGAAAGAGACAGGAGACCTGTCCATGGGTTCATTCCACATACGGCTGCAACAGCCAAAGCCATGAGCCTGGAAGTCCATCAGAGTCTGCCACATGGGTGCAGCACCCCAAGTGTCCGGGCCATCTCCCGCTGCCTTCCCAGGCGCATTAGCAGGAAGCTGGACTGGAAGTGGAGCAGCGGGGACATGAACTGGCAGCCATATGGGAGGCCGGCGTCGCAGGCGGTGGCTTGACCCGCTGCCCCACGGCGCCAGCCCCTTCCTTCATCCTCTTTACAGCTTGGTATGTCCAGCTGCTCACCACGCTTTTCCACCTGCGAGTCTTGTCACCTCAGCTGAAGCTTCCCCGACACCTGGCGCTGCGTGTTTACAGCGGCCCAGTTTCTGTCTGAAGTAGTTTCTTCCCTACGTCTGCAGTCTGGCCTCGCTCTGCCACTGAGGCCCGTAAATGTGTTTTCCCACATCCGTGTCTGCATTTTCCTTTTGGCTTTAGGGGTACTGCCTCCTATCAAACCTGCCCTCGTTCCTTTCCCTGCCTCCCGCCTGCGCCTCCTGTGCAGTGAGCTTTATCATCTCCTGCACAGCTTGGCTGATCTCGAGGCTGTGAACCCCTGTGTGCGTCCCTCTGCTGCCTCCCCCTCAGCCGGCACCCAGGACCCGTGTCAGCCCTGTGTCCAGCTGTGTCACTCACTGCCAGATCTCTCCTGTGACACAGAGTCCACTGTGACTCAGTGTCCTGGAAGGACATGGCGCAGTACCCGGCTTGGAGCAGGTGCTCAGTAGATTCTAATGCTTGGTGACTGTTTCCTAGGAGAATGCTCTCTGCATGGTGTGATGTCACCACCGTTAGCACAGTACGTGAATAACAGCGGTTAAAGTGTTTGTGTTTCCAGGAACCGATACCAGATCTACCACTTCCTTAACAATGTGAACAGCACTTTTATCAATGTTACTGACTGTTGAAATCTGGAACTTGCCAGCAATGTTCATTTAGACTTTCTTTTCCCCAAAAGAACAGTTTTTGAAGAGTGTGCACAGCAGGTTGCTCCTTTCTTTAATGTAAGTGAATTTATCAATTTATAGTTAATCTTTTAAATTTGTGTTTATCTATCTTGTTTGAGCTGAATGAAGAAACTGTAATCCGCTTTTTTTTAAGGATTTACTTATTTATTTGAAAGGCAGAGTTACACAGAGAGAGAAGGAGAGGCAGAGAGAGAGAGAGAGAGGTCTTCCATTGGCTGGTCCACTCCCCAGTAACAGCCAGAGCTGGGCTGATCTGAAGGCAGGAGCCAGGAGCTTCTTCCGGTTCTCCCACGTGGGTGCAGAAGCCCAGTAACTTGGGCCATTTTCTACTGCTTTCCCAAGCCATAGCAGGAGATGGGTTGGAAGAGAAGCAGCTGGGACTTGAGTCAGCACCCACATGGGATGCTGGCACTGCAGGCAGCAGCTTTACCAGCTACGCCACAGCACCGGCCCCGACTCCACTTTTAACACTTAGTTTGAATTTAGCTGTGTTGATTCTCTGAGTTGGTATAATTTCATGTGTATTTTTGCAGTAATAGTAGTGACATGTTTTCATTACAAACAACTTGGTAAATACAGAAACCCAAACCAGAAAAATCACTCATGATCCTCCTCCATCAGAGACTTCTAACACTTTTCTTCTAATCATTGTTTATTAATTTATTTATTGAAAATGCAGTTCTGTCATGCATATGTGAGGTTGTATGGCCTGTAAAAGGTGATAAAATTCTTTTTCACTGCATTTAAAAATCAAGTAAATTGCTCTCCCTTATGGCATACATAACCACACAGCAGGCTCTGTGCTAGACACTACAGTGCATTCCCTTAACTTAATTCTACAAACATCCCAGTGGGGAAATACCTCCCTACAACCCCACCTAGTCCACCACCACCCGCTCTGTGTTGTGGAAAACCACTCTTTCCACAAAGCTGCGGCACAGAACCTGCACTGGCTGGGAACAACCAACAGGGATGCCGGCTACGTCCTCATGCTGACCTATACCTAGCCTCTCACGGTATCATTAGAATAACCATGACTGACACTCCGATTCCCATGATGTAGCTCGTACCAAGATGCTTCCCAGGCCGGCGCCATGGCTCAATAGGCTAATCCTCCACCTTGCGGCGCCAGCACACCGGGTTCTAGTCCCAGTCGGGGCCCCGGATTCTGTCCCGATTGCCCCTCTTCCAGGCCAGCTCTCTGCTGTGGCCCGGGAGTGCAGTGGAGGATGGCCCAAGTGCTTGGGCCCTGCACCCCATGGGAGACCAGGAGAAGCACCTGGCTCCTGCCTTCGGATCAGCACGGTGTGCCGGCCGCAGCGCACCAGCCACGGCGGCGATTGGAGGGTGAACCAACGGCAAAAGGAAGACCTTTCTCTCTGTCTCTGTCTCTCTCACTTTCCACTCTGCCTGTCAAAAAAATTAAAAAAAAAATAAATAAATAAATAAAAAGATGCTTCCCAGACTTCCAAAACAGGCAAGAAAATGGGAGGTACCTACACCCCACCCCAAAATACCACCCCATATGACTATTCAGTTCAATCCCGCCCCAGACTCGACACCTGTGCCTCCAGATCCCAGAACGGGACTCAGTGTCACGGGTGCAGCTCAGTCCCCCTCGTGCCCACCTCCCTCTCACGTGTGTCCTTTCGCTTTGCAAATAATCCCTGCTTTCTGTGGTACCTTTCTCGTGTCTTGTCCGTAAATTCCTTGCTGCATCAGAGACAAGACTCTGGACACAGCCACCCCACAGCATTAGCACCCCCATTGGATGTGGGGAAGCTACGTCTCATGGCAGGGGTTAGGGAAGACCGCCCTGGGACCCGTGTTCCTGACCATTGTGCCTCCAACGTGTGGCCAGCGTGGGTGATAGAGGGCAGTTGCCTTCCTCTCCCCCCCCCTCGGTAGGGAGGCTGAGGAACTGTCCTGCACCAGAACACGAGCAGCAGTGTGGAGAACACCTGTTCACACACTGCTTCCGCCATACACCATCCCAGCCGCTTCGCTTCACTCTAATCCTCGCCAGAAGCCTTTAGGTCTCTGTACTGTTGCCGCCATTCACTGAGAAAACAGGGCTCCGAGATCCCAGCGGCCTGCTGTGGCAGCCCCTGGGAAGCAGTGGTGATGGCCCAGGCAGTTGGGTGCATTTCACCCACGTGGCAAACCTCGATTGAGTTCCTGCCTCCCGGCTATGCCCTGGCTGTCTCAGCTGTTGCAGTCACTTGGGGAGTGGGCCAGCGAATGGGAGCTTACTCTGTCTCTCGAATAAATAGGTAAATAAAATCATATACCTGGGAAGAACTTCAGAAATGTAGCTAGGAATGCTGTGGCCAGAGAAAGTATCATTTGCAAAGAACTTAAGAGAAAGAGCAAATTCTCCACCCCTAGGCTCTAAGTCTATCGAACGTCTCGCTACAGTGTTTTACTTCACCTGATTTTGAAAGGTATAACAAATAGACCAAAAAGGAAATTTTAGTGATGGTCTTGTTTATGGAAAGTGAATTCTCATAAATCAAGATTTTTACATTTAAAAATGAGAGCTTTCAGGGTATGAGTGTTTGGCCTAGCGATTAATACCCCAGTTGGGAGAGCTGGTTCCCCATCAGCGTGCCTAGGTTCAGGTCCTCTCCTGGCTCCCTGTTCCAGCTTCCTGCTAATACACACCCTGGAAGGCAGCAGACGATGGCTTAAATAGTCGAGTACCTGCCACTGTCGTGGGAAGACCTGAGTTGAGTTCTGGCTCCCAGGTTTGACCTCAGCCAGCCCCAGCTATTGCAGGCATGTTCTCGCTCTCAAGTGAAAATGAATTAAGTTAACATTTATTTTTTAAAAAGTAGATCTTTACTAGAGTGGCAGTAATCTCAGACAACTACTACTTGTCCGTTTGTTTCTGCTTTTTTCCCCAGACTTGATGCTTCGCAGCAGCTTCCTGCATTTGAATTTGTCTATGGCTGTGCAGCCCAAAACTTGCTGAGATGGAGGAGCCTCAGAAGGGCGATCCGGTCCCCGCGGACCTGCAGGAGGAAGACCGTGTGCAACGCGCCGGCCCCCCGATTTCTGTTAGTGAATTTTCTTGCCACTGCTGTTACGACATCCTGGTTAACCCCACCACGCTGAACTGTGGGCACAGCTTCTGCCGCCACTGCCTCGCTTTGTGGTGGGTGTCTTCAAAGAAAACCGAGTGTCCGGAATGCAGAGAAAAATGGGAAGGTTTCCCCAAAGTCAACATCCTGCTCAGGTAACACCAGGCCCACCCCGTAGCTCGTCCGGGGTGCTTCGCCTCTGTGGGAGCTGCTGGGTTCGGGAGGGCCTCAGGCTCGCAGCCGACCGCCTCGACCTGGACCTGAGGAATGCGAGTGGGCACTCGGGGGTCTGGAGAGGCAGGCTCGCTGCCTCGCAGGGGCAGCCGTTGTTGCCTCCTTCCTGTAAAGGAAGCTGCAGCTCAGTTCTGATGACAAGGCCCTTGCTGTGATCCTGCGCCGTAGCCTGCCTTCTATTGATCTGTATTTACGGAGGAACAGAGAAAGAGGGAGACCTGATTCGGTGCTGCTTTCATGGTTTGTTTTCCTAACTTGCACAACTCTGTCCCAGTGTCACAGTAGTGGGGCTTGCCACGCAGCGTCACACGCCCACAGCGAGGCCTTCCAGAGGGCCCGCCCTTTCCTGCGCCCTGCGGTCGTCACGGCCCTGTGAGGTCTGGAGGCTGAAGGCCTCGTCCCCTCTTCTGTAGCTTTAGCAATACGCGCAGCCTTCCTGATAGGAACTGAGGAGCAGAGTGTTCTGAAAACGTTAACCCAGCGTTCTGTCTGTCACGGTGTTTGTTTACACTTGGCCCTTCTCAGATTTGCAGTATAGGAAGGTCACTCTTAAATTGAAGGAGTTCTCTGACTGTATAAAATTGAAATTGAAAGAGCCCTGCAGTGTAACCCGGGGGCCAGCTCACCTTGGCTTTTTCCTCTTCAGAAACTAATTTCTCACAGCTCTGTTAACTAGCTTTTTTTTTTTTTTTTACTATAACAAAATGCCTGAGGCATGCTACTTTATAAAGAGGTTTGTTTTGAGCTCACAGACAATGTAGCTGGCCGTGTCACATTGCAACAAGGAGCCTGTGTGTGTGTGGTCTCCCTTTATAAAGTCGCCAGGGTCTCCATGCTAATGCCTGACCCAGTCTGATCACCTCGGAAGCCCCCACCTCTCAGCATCAGACTTGGATTAGGTCTCTGCCCACTTATTGCCTTCAGTGTAAGACTTTGGGGACTGCACCTGCTGCATGAGTTCAAGGGGACAAGCATAGGAACCGAAGCAGTAACATAAGCAATGTGTGTATACATTCATTGTCTGCATTCTTTTTAGATACTGGAAAATTACTGGTGGAGCCACACACCCCTTGGACTCCGTCCTACTCCATCTTAGAGTCCGTCCCTCTTTTTCCCTAGAGTGAATAGTGCGCTAATAGAAAATGCACATCTTTGGCCAGTGGTGTGCCATCTGCAGTTTGCATATCCTCTGGCCATGTATCTGTCTTTATCCATCTTGACACATAATAATCCAAGAAATTCATTTTTAAAGGCATGTGGATGAAATACTATATTTCATTTTGCTGTTTCTCTAACAGTGGAAATGTAGATTGTTGCTAATTTTTTGCCTTTGTCAATATGGCTAGAAGACATATTCTTTTTTTAAAATTTTTTTTATTTTTTGACAGGCAGTTAGAGAGACAGAGAGAAAGGTCTTCCTTCCGCTGGTTCACCTCCCCAAATGGCCGCCACGGCTGGCGCTGCACCGATCTGAAGCCAGGAGCCAGGTGCTTCTTCCTGGTCTCCCATGCGGGTGCAGGGCCCAAGCACTTGGGCCACAGCAGAGAGCTGGACTGGAAGAGGGGCAACCGGGACAGAATCCGGCGCCCCGACCAGGACTAGAACCCGAGTATCGGCGCTGCAGGCAGAGGATTAGCCTAGTGAGCTGCGGCGCCGGCCATGGAAGACATATTCTTATCCATGCTGCTAGGTCCCTGCGTAACATTAAAGGTTGTCAGTTTTGGCCGGCGCCGTGGCTCAATAGGCTAATCCTCCACCTTGCGGCGCCGGCACACCGGGTTCTAGTCCCGGTCGGGGCGCTGGATTCTGTCCCGGTTGTCCCTCTTCCAGGCCAGCTCTCTGCTATGGCCAGGGAGTGCAGTGGAGGATGGCCCAGGTGCTTGGGCCCTGCACCCCATGGGAGACCAGGAAAAGCACCTGGATCCTGGCTCCTGCCATCGGATCAGCGCGGTGCGCCGGCTGCAGCGGCGGCCATTGGAGGGTGAACCAACGGCAAAGGAAGACCTTTCTCTCTGTCTCTCTCTCTCACTGTCCACTCTGCCTGTCAAAAAAAAAAAAAAAAAAAAAAAAGGTTGTCAGTTTTATTTTGGCCTGTCAATTGTAAGTCACACATCTGGCTTGTGATTTTCCCCCCGCTGTTCTCCATAGAGATGCCATTGAGAAGTTATTTCCTGATGCCATTAGAATGAGACTGGAAGACATTCAGCAGAACACTGACATAGTCCAGAGTCTCGCAGCCTTTCAGAAACACGGCCATGACCAGATTCCTTTAGCTGCCAGCGCAGGCCGAGGCAATCAGCAGAGAGGAGGGGGTTTCTTTTCCGGCGTGCTCACGGCTCTAACCGGTGTGGCGGTAAGTCCATCTCCTTGTTTCTCTGTTCCCCTGCCGCGTACCCCCGTCCCTGGTGTCCACTGAGGTCAGTTCTGCTGAAATTGTGGACATACTTGATGGCAGGACAGCATGGAATGCGGTGCATACGTGGAAATCTGCTTGGGTCGTATGATTTCTTCGGGAATGTTGCTTACGTGCATAGACCACATAATGGTCCGCACCCGGTCATTGTCGGCTTTATCCTGCTTAATCCTCTTCGTAACCTATGCAGCGGGCTCCGTTATTATTCTCGTGTCAAAGCTGAGGAAAGAAGCGCAGAAAGGAGCCTGAGCTGGGAATGGAGACTTTGCCTCCACCCTGCAGAGGCCGCCAGTGTAGACTTTCCTCTTTCAGTTCTGTGCTGTGAAAATCTAGATGTGCTCCGGCAGGAAAGGCACGAGTGTCAGTTTGGCCCAGCAAGTTGAAGGAAGAGGTCGAGCGTGCAGCTGCCCCCGGGTGCCCCGTGCTGAGCCCTGTTCTGGTCTCTGTGCAGAGAAGAGCGCGGGAGAGCTGCGCTCCCAGTTCTCCGTGGCCGTCGTGTGGCCCTGCTGCCGCGTCCAGACGCAGCCTCATGTCTCGCAGCTCAGCCTCCTCCCTGCCCTCTGGCCTCGCTGTGTCTTAAGGTCCCTGTCCCTTTTCCCCAGGTGGTCCTGCTTGTGTATCACTGGAGCAGCAGGGAATCCGAGCACGACCTCCTGGTCCACAAGGCTGTGGCCAAGTGGACAGCGGAAGAAGTTGTCCTCTGGCTGGAGCAGCTGGGCCCCTGGGCCTCTCTCTACAGAGACAGGTTTTTATCTGAAAGAGTAAATGGAAGGTGAGGAGCAAGATCTTCTGACACCAAGGCCACCTCGAGAGACAGCTCTGCTGAGACGCAGTTCGCAAGTAGCAGAGTCAGCCCGTTTCAGTGTACAGTATCGGTCGTTGTTAGCATGGTCACAGATGCGTGCAGCCATCACCCCAGAGAGGTCCTCCCCCAGCCCTGGCAAATACCATGCTGCTTTCTGTCCCGTGGATTTGCCTGCTCTGGACCCCCTTGACGACGTGGCCTGTGACGATACGTGGCCTTTTCTGTGCAGCTCCTCCCCTGAGCGTAGTGTTTTCAAGGCTCCCCACGCACAGCAGGCGTCCATACCCTTCCTGTTCACGGCTGGGCGTGGATAGCCCGTACTTTCTTATTTTTTTGACAGGCAGAGTGGACAGTGAGAGAGAGAGACAGAGAGAAAGGTCTTCCTTTGCCATTAGTTCACCCTCCAATGGCCGCCTCGGCCGGTGCGCTGCGGCCGGCGCACCACGCTGATCCAAAGGCAGGAGCCAGGTGTTTCTCCTGGTCTCCTATGGGGTGCAGGGCCCAAGCACTTGGGCCATCCTCCACTGCACTCCCGGGCCACAGCAGAGAGCTGGCCTGGAAGAGAGGCAACCGGGACTAGAACCCGGTGTGCCGGCGCTGCAAGGCAGAGGATTAGTCTATTGAGCCGCGGCGCCGGCCCCGTACTTTCTTTATTCATCAGTTGATGGACATTTGGGTTGATTCCATTTCGGGGCTGTAAGGTACAGTGCTGCTGTGGTCATTCACGTGCAGGGCTTTGAGAGGGCACAGGTTCTCAGCACTCTTGTCGTGCAGTGGCTGGGTCACGTGGGGACTGCGTAACTTTGAGGAACTGTCTGTTTTCCATAGCACCTGTACCGTTTCATGTCAGTGTCATCTGCTTCCTGGTTATAAAAGTAACCTGTGTTTGTGATCTTAAAAGAATAACATAGAACCGTGTGATACTGACAGTGGAGCTCCCTCGTAGGCCGGCCTTCCCAGAAGAACCCTGTTACCTTGTAGACCCCTTTCTAGACTTTCTCAGTGTTGATACGGATACAGACGTGCATCATTCCTTTATTTAAACTGAACTTGCAGTTGTACTAAACAGCAGTTTTCATATGTGCACTTGCAGATGTTCCCTCCCCTGTGCAGGTGTGGTGCAGGGCGGAGGGAGCAGCCGCTCTCCCCAGCCCGCTGACAGGCTCTGGCCTGCGCCACCTTCCAGCCCAGCCGCGTTGCCCTCCACTGAGCCTACAGCACCCTCCTCTGGGCAGGGGAGAAGCTCCCAATTTGTGTTTGTGAGAATTCGCCTCCCCCAAAATTATGGTTAAAAACAGTCTCTCTCCCTAGCTATTGTAGTGGACTCCGGCATAACCTTCTTCCATCGAGGGTCATTTTCCAGAACTGGAGTTTTTGGTCAGAGGGAGTGAACCTGGGCAACGCTACTGAATGCCTTCCCGTCACCCGCAGAAGGACCACAGCTCAGACTTCCCGGGGGTTGCATGTACCTGTTGGGCTCTCTTCTGCCAGGGTACGGGGGTGTTTGGAATCATGAATCAGTGTAAGCAGAAACAGATTCTAAGGTTTTTATTCAAGGGAGGGCTGGGTAAGATTTATTTATTTGTTTGAAAGGCACAGTAACAGAGAAAGTGAGTGAGAGATATGGAGAGAGATGCCATTGGCTGGTTCACTCCCTAAATGGCTGCAACAGCCAGGATTGGGTCAGGCTGAAGCCAGGAGCCAAGAACTCCGTCTGGGTCTCTCACGTGGTTGGCAGGGATTGGATCCTGGTACTTGTGCCATCATTTGCTGCTTCCCAGGCACATTATTAGCAGAGAGGAGCCGGGACTCGAACCGGCAACCCAATGTAAGATGTGGTGTTCCAAGCAGTGGCTTCACCCTCTGTGCCACAGTGCCTGCTTTCTCTTTCTTTTAAATTTGAGAGACAAAAAAGAAGCAGAGAGAGTGATTGCCCCTCTGGTCATCTGGTGCACTCCCCAGAAGCCTGCACTGGCTAAGGCTACAGCCAGGAAAGCAATCAGACCTCCCGCGTGGGTGGCAGGAACTCCATTACCGGAGTCGTTACTGCTGCCTCCGAGGGTCTGCGGAGGTGGGAAGCCGGAGTGAGGAGCTGGCGCTGGGAACCACACCCAGGCAGGCAGCTATGGGATGTGGGCAGAATGCACACGCCCGACAAATCGCTACGCTTCGTGTCATAATGTGTTACTGGATTTCCTTCTAGTCTCATTGTTTTGTGCACATACTTTTTTTTTGTTTTGTACACAAACTTTAAAAAGTAGAGTAATGTGTCAGACGTCAGAGTACATAACTGAGAATCAGAGACTTCCACAGAAGGGGCTGGTGCCACTCACCCTGCCCGGTGGCACGGGTCAGGGATATGGCCCATGATACGCCTCTGTTATTTTCTGTTATTAGTGGTATTGCTGTCTGCGGGGGCTCACCTCACCTCGGGCCTCTGAGTGGGGAGGTTTGCTCCCGCTGAGTCATCTCACGGAATCTCACCCTCCTGCCCCTGCACAGGTTGCTTTTAACATTGACAGAGGAGGAGTTTGCGCAGGCGCCGTACACCATAGAAAACAGCAGCCACCGCAGAGCCATCCTGCTGGAGCTGGAGCGCGTCAAAGCCCTGGGCGTGAAGCCGCCCCAGAATCTCTGGGAATATAAGGTGAGCGCGTCATCGGCTGGTGTGCAGATGGAAAGGACAGCAGTCGTCCGCGTGCCCGCTGCTCGGTTTAGGAATGAGGCGGCTGCAGGTGCAAGCGAAGCCCCCAGTGCTCTCCCTCCGCGGCGGGAGCCGTGCTCCTGAGCTCACGCCTGTTCCGATTGTGCCCGTGGGGTCGAAGGCTTCACTCCCTAGGAAGGGGCGTGGATTGAGCACAGCCTTCCGTCCGTAGCGTTTACCTCCTGAATGTACCAGGGACTTCACAGAGTCTTAGAAACTGGAAATAGAGGTGGACTGCAAGAGGAGCAACCGGGACTAGTACCCGGCGCCCCAGCCGGGACTAGAGCCTGGGGTGCCAGCGCCACAGGCGGAGGATTAGCCGAGTGAGCCACGGCGCTATGGCCCAGAGTGCAGTGGAGGATGGCCCAAGTGCCTGGGTCCCTGCACCCGCATGGGAGATCGGGAGGAAGCACCTGGCTCCTGGCTTTGGATCGGCGAAGGTCCGGCTGTAGCGGCCATTAGGGGAGTGAACCAACGGAAGGAAGACCTTTCGCTCTGTCTCTCTCACTGTCTAACTCTGCCTGTCAAAAAAAAAAGGTTGAAATCCATGAATAGTGTTTTCTAAGGTTTATTTTTATTGGGGGTGCGGGGGAGGCAGGAGAGACCCAGAGGCTCGCTCTGGTCGGGCTTTGGTGTTGGGTGACACTGTTGTCCTGTGCTGTGTTTTCTTCCATGAGGAGGCTCCGGACACCCTGTTGTCTTCTGATGGTCCCAGCCACTGTGGTCATTGATTATTTAGATCCATTGGTTCATTAAGGGTTGCAAAATGACTATACGTTAATCCCCTCATCCTCCACTTACTAGCTGAAATAAGTCTTTAAGAGAGGAAACGTCGGGGCCGGCGTTGTGGTGTCGCAGGTTAAGCTGCCACCTGCAATGCTGGCATCCCAGAAGGGAGATGGTGCTGGAGCCCTTACACCCACATGGGAGACCTGGGAGAAGCTCCTGGCTCCTGGCTTCAGCTGACCCAGCCCTGGCTGTCGTGGCCATTTGGGGAGTGAACCAGTGGATGGAAGATGCCCCTCCCCCGCTAACTCTGCCTTTCAAATAAAGAAACCCTTACTTGTGACTTCCCGGAGTACACTCCTGACTCTGCCCCTTTCTTTGTAAGTTTCAGAGTACGAGACTTCCTCTCTCTGGGAGCAGTAACGGGGTCTTAACACTCCTGATGTGCTTCGTACGTGCTAGTTCCCACTCTCCCGAGGCTCAGATCGTCCTCTTTTCTGGACAGGCGCCTCTCCAGTTGTTTTCTGAGGCCATTTATTAACGTTCCAGGTGAAGTAGAATGCACCTGCCGGTGAGTCCTTTTGCCGTGACCTGGTGACTCTTCACTACTTCCTTGTCTCGTGTGCCAGCACGTTCAGGTGACTTTTGTTCCTGTCCTGCCTCAGGCCTGGAATAAGGTCTTACACAAGGTGAATTTTCTTTTTTTAAGATTCATTTGTTAATTTGACAGGCAGAGTTATAAACAGAGAGAGATCTTCCATCTGCTGGTTCACCCCCCCAAATGGCCACAATGGCATGGTGTGGACCGGGAGCTTCATCGGGGTCTCCCACAGGGTGGCAGGGGCCCAGGTACTTGGGCCATCTTCTGCTGCTTTCTCAGGTTTATTGGTAGGGAGCTGGATCAGAAGTGGAGCAGCTGGGAGTATGAACTGGTGCCCTTATGGGATGCTGGCATTGGAGGCAGCAGCTTAACCCACTCCATCACAATGCAGGCCCAGAAACCAAATCTATTTTTTTAAATCTTTCATTATAGAAAATTTCAGATCTATATAAAAATAGAGGAAAGATTTAATAAGTAAATAAATAAACAACTCCTGTCTTCAGCCTAGCCTAGGCCTGGCTGTTGCAGTCATTTGGGAGGTGAACCGGCAGATGGGAGGTTCTATCTCCCTCCCTCCCTCCCTCCCTCTCTCCCTCTCTCTTTCTCTGTCTCCCTCCCTCTCTCTCCCTCCATCTCCTCCACCTCTTCTCCTTCTCCCTTCTCTCTTTCTGTTGCCGCAGTTTTCAAATTATATCTGTAAAAAGTCACACTTAAAAACAATTGAATAATAAACCATTGATAGCATTACGTAGTTGAGTAAGAGTTTTACTGTGGCATAATTGACCTGCAGTATTTCAATAATCCTTGGTTAAGCTGTGACCTAGAGACCGCCGTGGAGTCACCGCCACAGCCCAGGTGTGAGCGCATGCGCCTGCCCCTCGTGAGCCATCCCTCCCCACCCTCCCCACTGTAGCAGGTGGATAAACTTACCTTTTCATTCATTCTCCCTGAGCTCACTGCAGCACTCTGTGTGAATCACTAGGCTGCTTCTGCCGTTCATCTTGCACACCGTGCACAAGGCCGACGGCTGGGGGCATGAGAGGAGGAGTGCAGTAGGGAGCCGGTGTAACGTGACCTTGGCCGCCTTGTCCTCTGCAGGCCGTGAACCCGGGCAGGTCCCTGTTCCTGCTCTACGCCCTCAAGAGCTCCCCCAGACTCGGCCTGCTCTACCTGTACCTTTTTGACTACACGGACACTTTCCTGCCCTTCATCCACACCATCTGCCCGGTGCACGAGGACAGCGCGAGGGAGGACGTGGTCTCCAGGTTTCTGGTAGGTCTGTCCCAGCGCCTCTGGGCGGGGAAAGACACTGGACACGTGGCGGCGGCCTGTTCCGTGCGAGCAGACGCCGGCCAGCCCTTGGGTGAAGTTTGCAGGCAGAGCCCCCCGCAAAAGAAAGTGAAGTGGGGCCTTTCCCGCGGCTGGAAGCTCACTTTGTTCCCTCTTACACAGCAAGAGGGGCTGCTCTGCGCCTGAGTGTTTAAAGACGGAACATGCTGTCCTGTTACAGAAGGAGATCGCGTGGGTCTAGAGCAGTGGATCTGTGGGCCTTCCGGTTTGGAAATCCCCCGCTGCCAGGACCCCCAGCTCCGCCTCTGTGCCCCTGGCCTGAGAACAGGAAGCCACAGCGTGGCTGCCGAGGCCACCTCCTTCTGGGGTCTGCCCCAGCGAGCCTGCGGGACTGCTGGTGGGCGCGGTCCCTGGGTTCCCTGCGTGGGGCTGGTCCTGTGAGAGCAGCGTGCTCATCTGTGTGTACCAGAAAGCGCCGAGTGCCGGAGTCATAACACACACTCATCAAGAGCGATGCCTGATTGCAGTCGGCCACACCTCGGGAACCGCGTGCTCGTTGCCCGCCTTGTAGGCGTTCCCTATTGCCGGTGCCGCTGTGACTCACTTGGCACCGTCAGCACAGAACCCTGTAGAACGTTCCCTCTCGGATCCGCCCCAGTAGCCTTCATCTGCGGTGCTGGGCAGCTCCTCTGCCCCCCGAAATTCCCTCGCTGTGGTGTCTGTAGTTCCCCACGCCGCCGGTCGCTGTCACTCTCCACAGCTGGGCCGCGGGCCCTCGGTGATGCTCGGAGCGCCCCTTGCCGTGCCGGAACACCGGGCTACGTCACTTCCTGATAACCCGGCTTAGGTTCTCATTCCTGAGTTCCCACAGTTGTGAAGTAAGCGCCTTGGTTCAGAGTATTTTGGTGAAGTTTAATAATTGAAGGTGAATTAGGGGCTGGTGCTGTGGTGTAGCGGGTAAAGCCCCTGCCTGCAGCACCAGCATCCCATATGGGTGCCGGTTCGAGTCCTGGCTGCTCCTCTTCCGATCCAGCAGAGGCTGTGGCCTGGGAAAGCAGTAGAGGATGGCCCAGTCCTTGGAAATGTCACTTCAGAGTGCTGTGTGTGTTAATAAACGTGGAACTCCCTGGGACAGTCACGGTATTTTGGGTATGTGATTTCTGTGTCCATGTGTTCCTTTCTCAAGGACCTTAGAGAGCCCACGTGGAAGCAGTGGAGAGAGTTCCTTGTCAAGTATTCCTTCCTTCCGTACCAGCTGATTGCTGAATTCGCCTGGGACTGGCTGGAGGTGCACTACTGGACGTCACGGTTCCTCATCGTCAACGCCATGTTGCTCTCGGTTCTGGAGTTATTTTCCTTTTGGAGGATCTGGTCAAGAAGCGAGCTGAAGTAAGTGTGGTTTCGTGTAGGAGATGCTTGGAGCACCGGGACTGGGAGAGAACGGCCGAGTGGGACAGAGATCCCCTCGAAATGGTACTGAGCACCTCCTGCTGCTCGGGCGTGCGGCCCAGCAAGACGGAGCTGCCTGTGTTGGGGGCCAGGGAGTCAGAGCCGCGGTTAAAGTGTTCCCTGTGTATCTCTCAGTATGTGTAACAATTGTTTGAAGCGTTACAGAGAGAGAGATGTTCCATCCACTGGTTCACTCCCCAGATGGCCACAGCAGCAGCACTGGGCCAGGCTGAAGCCAGGAGCCAGGAGCTTCATTTGGGTCTCCAGGGTGGTTGTAGGGGCCCAAGTACTTGAGCCATTTTCTGCTGCTTTTCCCAAGCCATTAGCAGGGAGCTGGATGGGAAGTGGAACAGCCAGGACTCGAACCAGCACCCATTTGGAATGCTGGCACCACAGGTGGCTACTTTACCTGCTTCGCCACAACTCCGGCACCTATTTGTTGTAATTTTTTTAGTGGGAATTTGAACCTAGCTCTTTCCAATCCAAGCCAGAGCTTTGTTTTTGTTTTTGTTTTTACTTTGGGGAAGGCAAAGTGAGATAGTGCCCCTCCGTCCCCTGAAGGCTCACTCCTTCACTCCCCCAGTGCCCACGACAGCCTTGGCGATTGGATTGGGGCGCTCCCTGTGCTCACCCACAACTGGGGGCTGGTGGGGCCCCGTCCAGACCACATAGGAAAGAGAGGAGGCCAGTTCCCGAGAGGAAAACTCAGAGACCGAGAAGGAAGGGGCGTGGTGCCCCCACCACCCTTGCACGCTTTGACCGTGATGTCCTGTGACCTGAAGGGTTTTCTCCCTCCTCGTAGTCGGCAGCCATCTCCTTCCCGCCCTGACTCACGCAGAGAATTTGCGTGTCCCGGCCCTGCCCTCCCCTCTGCCCAGCAAGGGCCTCCAGCCTAGCAGAGACAATGCAGATGCCGAGGCAGCGAGTGAGGGGAGTCACTTGGCCTAGCGCTGAAGATGCCTGGCCCCAGCTCCGAATTCCAGCTTCCTGCGAGTGCCGACCCTGGCAGGCAGCAGGAGGTGGCTTACGTAGCTGGGTCCCTGCCGTGAGAGTGGGAGGCGAGTTCCTGGCTCCCCGGCCCACCCCCATCGTGGTGGGTACTGGGGAGTGGATCAGTGAGGAGGAGCTGACCCTGTCCAGTAATCAGTATGCACCCATGTGTGTCAGCTGGGTGAACGTGACAGAGCGGTGACGAGGGTGGGGCTGGGCTGTCTGGGGACCAACCAGGCCGCGGCGGCCTGTGTAGTGGGTTCACATTGGGTTGGGTTGGGAACTGAAGGTGGCCAGCGGGAGGCGCCGAGGCGAGGCGCAGGGCCCGAGCACACGGCCCTGACATGGCCTCAACTGCCGTCTCCCTTTTGTAGGACAGTGCCTCGGAGGATGTGGAGCCATTTTTGGAAGGTGTCAACGCAGGGCCTTTTCGTGGCCATGTTCTGGCCCCTCATCCCACAGTTTGTCTGCAACTGCCTGTTCTACTGGGCGCTGTACTTCAACCCCATCATCAACATTGACCTCGTGGTCAAGGAGGTCCGCCGGCTGGACACCCAGGTGCTGTGAGTGGCCTGCCCAGGCCCGCAAGACGCCGGTCTCCCCACCCCACGTGCCGGGGCGCAGCAGGGCTGAAAGGAGAGGCCTCCTGCTTCGGCCCCCACAAGACAAGGTGCTGCTGTGTGTCGGGCGGCGGCCAGGCCCCCTCCCGGAGACGGCCACCCCGCACACGCCCGGAGGGCCGCCAGCCGCTTTCCTCACTGGGACCTGGGAGGCTCAGGCCGTGATGGCTGCCAGGACTCGGGGTGCTCAGAGGACACGGCCTTCACAGTCCCCCTTGCCCTGGCCTCGGGGACCGACAGAGGCTCCCAGCACCCAAGACCAGGCCTGATGGGGCCAAGCCTGTCCCGGAAGTTGAGGTTCAGAAAGCAGGAATAAGCTGTCACAGGCAGACCGTTGCCCATAGAAAATGCAGGGGGAAATCTAAAATTCAATCAACAATTCCGCTTACAGAAGAGGTGCCAGGCTTCAGAATCAAACCTCCAAGAGGATCAGGTTTGAGACTGGGATGGCAGACAATGCTCGCTGTTCTCTGTGCAGTCCCTGGAGTTCGGGTGGGATGGCGGGCGGTGCGTGGAGGGCCGCTCCCAGCATCCCCAGCTGCACTTGTGTGGCCTAAAATCATTGCTTAGGGTTTGTTTTGAGGAACTCAATCTGTAAAATTAATTTCCACGGTAGTGCTTTGTTCAAGGAAGCATTTTGTAAATTGACCTTGCACTGTATAATATGTAATCTTTATTGTCCTGTCCCGGTGTATAAAGCAGCAAATACAATTATACCAAGTGCTGTGATTGTAAATATGAAACGAGCTGACTGATGGCCTTTCATTTCCTTCCAGCGTGAAAACAAGTGTGAAATGTGAGCTCTCTGAAGACTGGCTGCGAAGATGAGCTTGTGTCCGGTTTCCCCTGTGACTCTGTTCTTTCACCCCGTGTGTCTGTGAGTGAGGCTCTACTCAAACTCTGCATCTGGAAGTTTGAGGAAATTACTTGAAATAAAAATAAGAAAAGATTTTTATACAGGTAAAACCTGTAAACAAAGTAATTTTACAGAAAACATGGGAAAAAACCCGCCTTGCGCACAGGACCGACTAGCCAGACGTTTCTCCTGACCTGCTGTGGCACTGCAAGCGGGAGCCGGCCGGAGGTTCCCCGAGTGAAAGGAGGGAGAACGTTTCCCTCCCTCCCGCGTTTGCTCCTCGGGCCCCAGGGTGCCCGACTTGAGCTGGGGAACCCTTGCGGGCCCGGGGACAGGCAGTGTTTTACACCCCTGCTCCCCTGCCCTGGGGGACGCCAGTACTTCCAGATGCAGAGCTGGGGCTGCCAGCAAGGGCTGCTGAGCTTGCGCTGACCCCACTGGCGGAGCTGGGCCTGGGCCAGTCTGCAGGCTGCCACACTCAAGGCAGCACCTCCCTCCCCCAGCGCACGGCCGGCACACTCTCCCCACCTGCTCCCACATCCTGCTTCCAGAATGAGTAACACCCAGCTCTGCTGTCGGGAGGCAGGTCTGGGAGAGCGGGTGTGGAGCACACAGGCTGGGTCCTCGCCCCTTATCACCAGCAGGAAGGGGTGGGCACACTCAGATCAACGGTGCCTCTCCCCTCCCTCACAGACAGACCTGATCCAAAAATGGCACTTCTGGAAATCTGGGCTAAGACGTAATAAAAGGGGAGGAGTCCAGAGGCAGCCAAGGCTGACTGAGGTGTCCCCACCGCAGCCACTGACAAACACGGGAAGTGCCACCAGTTCCTACACGTTAGCAGTGTAGAAACTGTAGCCAATACGACCTTTTGAAATGACTTTTCCAATGATCGTTTTTAAGGACATGAAGAAAAGAGTAGGAAAATCATACGGTATAGTGTCCACTACCTTTAAACTCTGGAAAACTCAGGTGCTAACGGTGATTATCCCAGACTGTGGGAATCGGAATGCTTTCTCCCCCTGCTTCCTGTTTCTCTGTATTTTCCTTGGTCATAACAGCAATGAGCCTGTGCCACTCTTGTGATCAGGAAGTTCATTTTAGCCATTAAAGGCGGGGCGGGGCCGGGCGGGGAATGCCCTTTCTGACGCTAACAGTGCCTAGATTGAACATCACACAGGTGGGCAAGGTGTGGCCGTCTTCTTTATGGCTGTGTCCCAGAACCTAGAACACAGCCAAGCACATAGGAGGTGTTCATTCCTATTTGACCACTGGTCATCCGTAGCGGACAAAAACCACCCTTTCATAAAGGTGTCAACAACGGTACCAACCTCAGCACAGTGGTTTTGTGAAACAGGCACAGGACGTTTGACCTTCCCCCGATGAATGCAGGCTCCGGCGGGGCTCCAGGATGGAGAGAGCAGACAGCAGGGCTGCCGCTTTATCTCTTGGCCCCAGTCGCCTCCAGTAAAGAACTGAGTGCTGTTGTTCCTGGTGAAAAGGACCTTTATTTCCTTGTGCAAGCGAACACTTCAAGCCCGGCTAGTCACACTTGGGCGAGTCCTGCTCACACAAGAACTGGGGGTAGAAGAGGTACTTTAAGTTGTACTCATTTTGGGCAAAGCAGTGGGCAATCTCCTGGTCACACTTGCACATGAGTTCCTGGCATTTGTCCTCTGTGGGCCCTGGAAGAAGAGGGAAACTGAGGTCAGAGCAGGGACCTGCACACTTGCAGGGAAACACCCAGGGAAGCCAACAAAGCTGGAGACAGGAAGGGGTAGGAATGGCACGTGGGGCACTGGACCGTTCCCGCTCGTGGCCCTCGGCAGGCAGGTGGTGTCAGGCCCACTTCACAGCAAAGCTGTTGTTCCACATGGCAGGCCAACATCCGAGCCCCCTGTGGCTTCTCCACATCAGTGTTAACACTGGTCCATCTGGGGACTCACGTGGTAACACAGCAGGTGCCAGCAAGCCTTGCTGACCAGGTTTGGGACGCCTGCTCTGCTACGTCCTAGCGCCGTTATTGGACAGCCTGGCTGAGAAGTGTAGGAAAAGCGCCCGACACGGGGCGTGGCACTGGCCGGGAGTACTTGGTGCATTTGGCTCTCGCCTGCGTGTTTCTGCCTCTTTTCTCCAAGTCTCTTGCAGATGCTCCTTCAAGAAAAAGAGCTTCCTTTAGGTGACAGTCATGTGCTGCATCTCATCCCTCCATCCAAGGGAAGTCTCCTCACTTGGGAATTCCACTCCTAAAGACTCCCTGATTGGAGACACAGACTCAAAGACCATAGTAATGGGGGATTTCAATTCCCCGCTTTCAGCAATGGACAGATCAACAGAAAATCAGCAAGGAAACAGCAGTTAATCGACACTATAGACCAAATGGACCTAACAGATTACTACAGAACTTCCCATCCTGCAGTCATTTACAACAAAATGGAGGAATCTGGAAAACATCATACTGAGTGAAATAAGCCAGTCTCAAAGGGACAAATACAGTATGTTCTCCCTGATCTGTGATAACTAACAGAGCACCTAAAAGGAAATCTGCAGAAGTGAAATTGACACTTGGAGAAACAAGGACTTGAACAGTCCCTGTCTTGACTTTGGAGGAACAGGTTGTTTTTTTTTTTTTTTTCCTTAATGGAGAATTGGAATGGGAATGGGAGAGGAAGGAGGCGGTAGGGTGGGAGGGCGGGTATGGTGGGAAGAATCACTATATTCCTAAAGTTGTACTTAAGAAATTTGTACTTGGCTGGCGCCACAGCTCAACAGGCTAATCCTCCGCCTTGCGGCGCCAGCACACCGGGTTCTAGTCCCAGTTGGGGCGCCGGATTCTGTCCCGGTTGCCCCTCTTCCAGGCCAGCTCTCTGCTGTGGCCTGGGAGTGCAGTGGAGGATGGCCCAAGTGCTTGGGCCCTGCACCCTATGGGAGACCAGGATAAGCACCTGGCTCCTGCCATCGGATCAGCGCGCCGGCTGCGGTGGCCATTGGAGGGAAGACCTTTCTCTCTGTCTCTCTCTCTCATTGTCCACTCTGCCTGTCAAAAACAAAAAAAAAAAAAAGGAAAAAAGAAAAAAGAAATTTGTACTCATTAAACAAGGTCTTTTTGGGGGGCGTGGTGGGGAGGCTCCCTAATTGGGCTTGGAACGATTTTGCAGTCTTCAAGTCACATAGAAATCTCATCTAGAAGATATATAATGCCTTAAACAGCTATGGATGCATCCCTTAACCATGTCACCACTGCCCTCTGGTGTGGGCATTTAGTTCTTCACATTAAAAAAAAATCCCCACCATTAAATCCTTCCAAGTCCCTTCAAGAGGCACAGTGAGGAAGCAGGAGCTCTGCAGTCAGCCAGCTTCGTGCCTTTGGAAACACAGCAGGTGCGGCTGCCACTTGTGATGCCGCCATCCCATACCCGTGCAGTTTGGGTATCGGCTACTCTGCCTCCAGTCTAGCTCCCTGCTGATGCATTTGGAAAACCGGCAGAAGATGGTCCAAGTGCTTGGGCCCCAGCCACCTATGTGGGAGACCCGGATGGACTTCTGGGCTCTTGGCTTCGGCCTAGACAAGTCTTGACTGACTTATGGCCATTTGCGGAGTGAAGCAATGGATAGAAGATCTGTCTCTCTCTCTCTCTCTCTCTCTCCCTTTCACATAAATAAATACATCTTTAAAAAAATTTTAAAAAAGGACATCACTTCATCCGTCCTGGACTCAGTTTCCTCAAGACCACTATGGGGATAACAATAGTACCTACCTAAGGGCTGCTGGGAGAATCAAAGGGCCAGATCAGTAAAATGCAGGGCACAGAGTTGGCATGAAGGAAGTGGAAACTCCTTCCTTCAACTGCCAGCCGATCTTCGCACAGGTTCTTGGAGACCCGAGGGAGAGGAGGCCTGGAGTGAGACAGCTCACCAGTTCTAGGGAGAGGAGGCCTGAAGTAAGACAGATCCCTGGCTTTTTTCTAGGGAACATGGCCAGAGCGCTTGCTGGGACAGGTGAGGCTCAGTGCAGGGAGGCAGAGGGCCTGAGACCCTCGGAGGACCACCTGTCCAGGCCCGCGCAAGGACTGATGAAAGGAACTTAGGTGTGTGGTTACACACGGCTTCCCACTTTGGCTCAGGATCTGGCAGTTTTATTTTTTAAATATATATCTTTTAATAAAAATTTATACTTGAAAAACAGAGAGGGATCGATCTTCATCTGCTGATTTACTTCCCAAATGGCCACAATGTCCAGGGCTGGGCCAGGCCAAAGCCAGGAGCCAGGAACTTCTTGGTCTCCTTCATGGGTGCAGGCTCCCAAGCCCTTGGGGCATCTTCCACTGCTTTCCCAGGCACATTAGCAGGGAGCTGGATAGCAAGTGGAGCAGCCAGGACTATATGGGATGCCAGCACTCTAGGCAGTCCCCAAGAGCTTACAGTTTCAAGAGTTCTATTTTCTTTTCTTTTTCTTTTTTTTTTTTTTTTTTTTTTTTTTTTTAGGATTTATTTCATTTATTTGAAAGGGAGAGTGACAGAGAGATAGAGACAGAGACCTTCCATCTGCTGGCTCACTCCCCAGATGGCTACAACAGCCAGGGCTGGGCCAAACAAAAGCCAGGAGCTTCTGATCTCCCACAGGGGTACAGAAGTGCCATCTTGCACTTCTTTCCCAGCTGCGTCAGCAGAGTTGCATTGGGAGTGGAACTGCCAGACTCAAACTGGCATCCATGTGGTTGCAGTGCCATACGCGGTGGCTTACCTGCTGTGCCACGACACTGACCCACGAGTCCTGGTTTAAATAACCTCCCTTAAGGCAGTGGTGATGGCTCAGGTAATTGGGTTCCTGACACCTACGTGACAGACCTGGATTCAGTTCCTTCCTGCTCTTGATTTCAGCCTGGC